AGCTCCTAACATCATAAGGTTACAGAGTTTCTTTCGCCTCCAGCCTGAATCGAACCGTGGACCTTAGCTTATACTGTAGGGGTTTGGCAGCTTAACCACTAAGCTATAGAGCCCAAAACCCCTAATTAAAAAATTAAATTAAAAAAAAAAAAAAGGTAAAATAAAATATAAAATTAACAGTAATTAAAATTAAAAAAAAATACCTTCATCTATAACAACAGACTCTTGTCCAAATCTTGGTGATTTCTTCCAAATATTTCTATACTATAGTTTACATTTTTTTGTGACTTCTTGGCCTGGGCCAAAATACATTTTGTTAAATAGTAAAGAATTGTTAAGGACATGCCAAATTATATCAGAAATTGACAAGCAATATGCTATTTTAGTATCTTTTGATGTAGATAGTGTTTTCTTGTCAGAAATATGAATTTGATGTGATTTAATTTGAAGTAAAGATAGTCGTTGCCTATACTTTCTAAATTGTCTAATGTTCTTTATAACATTTTTACTATTAAATTGTGGATTATAAATTATATCTACTAGATTATTATACGCTTGAGTAGCTAAAATAAAAACAAACTTTAACAAATATATTAAAATTTATAAACAATAATTATTTTAATTACCTACATATACTATGCTTTTGAATCCAAAAAAACATCATTGCTTCTGTAAAGTTACTAAATTATGGTGCAAATTATCCATTAATTGATGACATTTTTTCATTACATAAAGATTCATCAACAACTTCTCTTAGCACACTATCTTTGCTCATTGAACTGTTTGTATTAAACATATCATCATCAGTCAACATATCATCGTCAGTTAACATATCATCTTCACTCAACATCGTCTCTGGTAAATCTATTATCCTCACTTAACAAATCATTTTCACTCAACGTATCACCAAAATCTTCATTATCTAAAATTTCATTATCGAAATCTTCTTGATTTAACATATTATTATCAGAATCTATTTCAATATAGTAATTACTAGAAACATTTGCTTCAGTACTTCTTTTATTTAATATCTCATATGAAGGTGTGTTTAGCATATTACGTAGGCATCTTAAATAATTTTGGCGAGGATTAAAAGGGATATAATGGCTATGAAACATTGTAATAAGAAAATAAATTAAAAGTTATAAGTTAAAAGGTATATATAAAAATATAATTGTTGAAATGTAAATTTGTTTGATAATTTACTAGCAAGCTTACTAATCAGAAAAAAAGCTAAAATTCGGGTCTTAAAAATTATCTTATATTATCTAATTATGATCTAATTATTAAATCGTAACCTTATATAATAAACTTTTAAAATAAATTTTACTATAAAAACTATTTTTTTTTTACTCTTTATCACTTAAACATGAAAACCAGAAATTCAAAACC